GGTACTACGCCCAAACAAAATCTCACTGAAAGCTCATTTTTTTAGATATCAACCTCAAATTTGGAACACAACTTGTTCAGATTTTTGGTTTTAATTTTCTAGAGTAAAACTTGTTTTGTCAAATATATTTTATATAAAATATAAATATTTTAATTTTTACATTTTATATTTTCATAAACCTAAACTTCCATAACTTTTTTAATTTTTTAAACTTCTTTCACTTCTACAATAATCTGCCAAATGTCTTCTTTAAAAAGAGACCAACCTTAAGTGTGTGCAAAGCATTCACAATTTATAACAATTTAAGTTGGAAATGTAATTTGTAGGTCTATGCTCAAAAAGTGGAACCGGCAGTTAACAGAAACTCATACAATTCGCACATGTATTTTTTCTTATTTGGAGAAAACTGTGAAAACATATTTGGATGCAGTTTTTTGTTTGCATGTTATTGCCCCCACACCTAGCTATTGAATACACTGGATTATATAGATGATTGAATTATTATTTAAAATATTATTGTAAAATATCAAGATGACATGGTGGACGAGCACATGACGGGGTGGACACATAATGCAGAACACACAAAGCATGACAAAATATGACAATGAAATATTAAGTCAATTTCGAAAAAATAATTTAATAATAATAAATAATAAAATTATATCCTCAATCACATTGATGTGTTCATTTTAGTTTTGAGCAATATTAACTACAAATGAATGCTATGTCCACCCTGTCATGTGTATGTCCACTCTATCGAGTCTAAGTGGCCGAAAGGGTGGACATGTTAAGCTTTGGCAAAGCAAGTAAGCAAAACCATACGAAGAAAATTTGCCAAATGAAAAGTCACCAACTTATTCACCTCAGCCGTTGAAATTCCCGCCATTGAAGAGACAAAAAAATCTGTTGTCCTGATGTCAATAAAGTGGATGACCTTTTCTTAAAGGGGCGGATTCCCCAATACGAAAGGGTGGACAACCATTCAAGGGACATGGAAAACTGTTTTTATTACCAAATGATCAATACGCTCAAATTGAATAATCTCTTATTTAACAAAGTATAAATAGGAGAACCCTTTTTAATTTTTTTATTTTATGATTTGACAATATTCTACTATCATTCTAATTTAATGAGCGGTGCATGGGACATAGCAAAATAACACTCATCCTCTTGCACAAAAAAATCTAGAAAATGTATTAAAGAGCCAAGTAATGATTTTGTTATGAATATAAAAACTTAGCCTAATATAACACACCCTGTCATAGTCATTTTTATGTTAAGTTATCATGGCAAATTAGTTATTTATGTACAGGACGCCAAAAGGCATCCTAGTGTGATATTGACCCATATATAAGAAGCTGAAGTTAAACAGCTGATGTGATGTTACAGTAGCGTTGTTACATTGAGTTGTTGTTGCTTGCTTGATCAGAGACCTGAAACTGTTATTTATTTATTTATTTATATATTTATAATAATTAGGTGCAGGACTTCTATAGGGAGACTGTTAGATGTAGGCTATTTTTTTTAATAAAAATGTTAACTACTTATAACAAAAGCATTTTATTGGTATTTTTTACAAGCTTTGTGTGTACAACTGTGATTATTGATCAATAAATATAAAAAGGGAAGGATTGAGTTGTTAAATTTTCAGAACATTGTTAAAGGGACAAATGCTGTCCAGGAACAACCAAGATCGTTTTTCATGATGCTGTTTGTTTCATGATGAAATACAATGCCGGTATCATTCCCCAGCAAAACCAAGCCTCGACATGAACGTCTTGCTTGTCAAAATAATTCTGAGAAGCACTGTATTCACATTATATGCTGGAGTAAAACTTGTTGTTGATCAAATTACGTCAATTTGCAGAGAAGCCAAAAGAACATCTGTGAAACAAACTTTGAAATAGTTTAACAAAATTTAAATCAGGAGTTGAATCAGGACCCATCCCTGATAAAGACAGGCATCATGCCCAGTTTATTTGATGGTTTTCAAGGATGAGGTCATGTCAAGGAACTTTTGACTCAAAAGTTTCACTTTACCAAGTGAAAAATGAATATAGGCCAAAATACTATCAAGTTTGATTGAATGCGAGGCTTTTGCAACAAACACATCTAATTATATTCCCGCAATCAAATGTATGGTGTTACAAAACATTTATTTTGCATTTAGTATTGTTTATATCGTTGCTGTCCATAACCCTGTCAGAACAGAACTCAGTTTTGGGTCATGACCCTTCAGTTTACAACCTAAGAATTTAAGTGTACACATAAACAACTTGTGTGAACAAGAGTGTATTGCGCCATTGTTGTTTTGTGGGTTGATGGGAAAGGCTGAAGTGCAAGTCCCCAACAGATTAGCGTGGTGTCGCTGTAAGAAAAACGGATTTTAAGGAGGGACCATGAGTCACTTGTGTCATTCTGGAGCCATCTCTCTCTCTCTCTCTCTCTCTCTCTCTCTCTCTCTCTCTCTCTTTCTTTCATCACTCTACTCTTTCCTCCTCTTATCTTCATCTTTCACAAACCTCATTTCTTTTTGTGTGAACAAGAGTGTATTGCGCCATTGTTGTTTTGTGGGTTGATGGGAAAGGCTGAAGTGCAAGTGCCCAACAGATTAGCGTGGTGTCGCTGTAAGAAAAACGGATTTTAAGGAGGGACCATGAGTCACTTGTGTCATTCTGGAGCCATCTCTCTCTCTCTCTCTCTCTCTCTCTCTCTCTCTCTTTCTTTCATCACTCTACTCTTTCCTCCTCTTATCTTCATCTTTCACAAACCTCATTTCTTTCACTCTTCTCTGTCTTGTCACTTTCCTCTGTACTTCCTGTTTCTATTTGTTTCTATTTCTCTCTTTAAGGGGTCATCGGATACCTATTTTCCACAAGTTTATATGATTCTTTAGGGTCTTAATGAAAAGTCTATAACATACTTTGGTTTAAAATTTCTCAATGGTAGTGTAAAACCCCCTTTTTCCCCTGTCAAAAACTGCTCTTTTCACAGCAAGCCGTTTCAGTGCATTTCCCTTTAAATGCTAATGAGCTCTGCTTACCCCACCCCTCTCCCTCCTTGGGGTGATGCACAGTTCTATGAGAGACTGTAAACTTTAGCCACATTCATCGTGAAACTTGCTAATTAGCACATTATTAGGAAAGGCGATTTTCAAAATTCATTAAAAACCCTTATACTCACTTCTTCTGGTGAGGCTGGATCACGAATGATTCACACAAACATAAACGCATTTAGGCAGATCGGGGGATGCATTCCCTTCATAAACAAACGTAATCCACTGCGTCTTCAGCGGATCAGATGCCAGGAGTAAATAACGACTTCTATTTTCATTATTACATCCAACAACAAAACGCCTCAGTCGCTTAAGAGACATTCTTATCTACAACCGCTCCGGCATCAAAACAATGGCGGACTGAAGACAGCTCACTCAGGGCAGGTCTAAGGTAAGACGGCCGTGTCAATCAACAGTTGTGGGAGGGGCTTTGGTCTGTGTGACGTCACACAGCCAAGAATCTGAGAACGGCTTGATTTGAAAAAGGGGTAATTATTTATCTGGATTAAAAAAAAAAAACACTGTGGGGATTTTTATCATTATAGGGTGGTTGTGTACACACACTGCCAACACACATTTCAGTTCAAACAACATGTAAAAGTGAATTTTGCATCCGATGACCCCTTTTACACTAAATGTATATATTAATTTACTTTTGCATTCTACATTCCAATGCATCATGTCTTGCAACATTGTTTACTTACCCATCTCATGTTTTTCTAAAGCAGTATTACTTCATACTGGTCACTATTTTCCATAAACAGGCTTCTTCCAAGCTTCAGAAAAAAGATGCAAAAAGTGTCATAAAGTGGTGCATACAATTTTGTTTTTGTAATATTCCAAGCCTTCTGAAGACATGATTCCTTTGCGTGAGAAATAGATTGAAATTTAAGTCATTACTAACTGAAAATCCCACTCTGTTCTTCCATCCAAACTGTTCCGAGTCAGATAATTTCAATGAATCATTGATTCTGTTTATAAAATCAGTTTGAATTATTAAGTTATGATTTGGACAGATTCTGTTTTAGTATTCAACTCACTGACTTGGTGATTCAGTTGCAGTGATTCTCAAATTAACAGCTGACTGGTGAGAAGATTATAATGTTAATTATTACCTCAAGTAATGATTCAGTCTGATCCTCTTACAATTCTATTGTATGTCTTCATATGATCCTATGAACCACTTTTGATTTAAAGGGATAGTTCACCAAAAAAAAAGAAAATTCTGTAATTAATTACTCACCCACATGTCGTTCCAAACCTGCAAGACCTTCGATCTTTGGAACACAAGTTAAGATATTTTTGACGAATTGTTGAAAAAAGTTGTTATTTTTGTTTTCTTTGCACACAAAAATTATTCTTGTAGCTTCATAAAATAGAGGTTGAACCACTGATGTCGCATGGACTATTTTAACAATGCCCTTACTATTAATGACAGGATTTTCATTTTGGGGTGAATTATCTCTTTAAATGTTTATTGTGAATTTTTTGTTACTTTTGAAACTTGAAAGCTCGATTCTCCATTCTATGTAAATGCATGGAAAAGAGCAACCAGCACAGTTTTCAAACTATATTTTCCACATAGAGGAAAGAAAGTCATACAGGTTTGGAACAACATAAACGATGACAGAGTATTCATTTCAGGCAAAACAATTCTTATCTCTATTTCCAAATGCAATTTCATAATATATGCATCACTGAAACATCACATTGTGCCTGTGGAGAGGCTGGCTAACAAAGACCACTCCCTCCTACTTTGAGTGCTCATGTTTTTGCCTTCCGTCTCTGCGTTTTCTTACGCATGTCCTCGCCAATGTCCTCTTTTCTTCCCCAGTCTTCTGTTGACCGATTCCTCTTTTCATGTGTAGCTCCCCTTCCTCCTCTCTCCTTCACAGTGTCAAAAGGGAAGTAGGAGATTTTGGCCATAGCAGACTCAGCAGTGCCTTTAGTTCCCTACGTAGTCACAAACCCCTCACCAGAAGATCTAGTAGAGGTTAGTTGACAGTCCAGAGATATTTATCTACCCCACAAAACCTGCAGCCATGTAAGTATCAGTCTGGCCTATAGTGCTATTAATAGTTTATTGTTTTAATGCGAGTAGTGAGGGAAGTAAGATTATATTAGCAGTAGTGGTTGTAGAAGAACTATTGCATGCATTAATATTAATTAAATATGATAAATATTAATACAAGTACAATGTTCAGTCATATTTAAGACCATATGCCAGATGTTCATTGGGTCATGGACTGATTGACCTTTTAGCTCAAATCTGTGTGAGAGTGGCACAGGATCGTGGCAGCTGGCTGAACATCTGGGGCTGATTTTATCATGATTTGTGGGCGATTCTTGGCAGATCTTTATTTCACATTTTAGACAAGTTTAGACAAGCAATGCATGGTGATTTAGTAATGCTCGATATTGGTTAAGTTCTCAAAATGAATTAGACGTACTAGACTTAGATGTTTAGCAGAGTCGATTTGATTTCATGTCATTTGTATGATATTTTCTGTACAGTATGGATCATAGGATTAGGTGCTATATTTGATTCAATGTGAATGGAAACAAGGCTAATATGTACTTTGATGTGAATAGATCAGCCAACAAAACATTGAAAATATGTTTTAAGAGTTTTACAGGTATAGAAAGTCCAGAAAACATTGGTAGTGAAAATCAGATGTGACCTATGACATTAAGATACAACCTACTGAATAGATTGAATAGTTCATTCCCAGCATTCCCATGGTCCTGGAATTAGGGAACTAAAAAGTGTAATTTCCAAGCCTGTAAAAGTCATGGAAATGAATAGAATCATTAAAAAGTCATTGAAATGTTTTTAATTCTTTTCTTTTTTTAAAATTATGTTCAGTTCTTCCATCTTTGTGAGTGCAGTCTATAATATGCTTTTAACATTCCTCATCTAGTCACCATAAACATAAAGGTAATTGAAAAATCATGGAAGTTCACTGGCCAGAGAATGTAGGAACACCCCAAGCCCTGATTTTGTGTGTGTCAAATTAAGCTATATGGAAAGCTGAGATGATGAGATGAGCTTCCAGCAGCAAGTACTTTGTCTTTCCACAATGAATATGAGGAAGCTGCATGATGTGACACAATCACAACAAATCAGAAATTTTTTTAATGTTAGGGTTAGGGTAAGTTTGGGATGAGAAAGAGTGTTTTTTAAAAAAAAAAAGAAATTAATAGTTAGATTCAGCAAGGACACATTAAATTGATCAAAATGGACATTTATAATGTTAAAAAAGTTCTTGTGAACTTTCTATTCATCAAAGAATCCTGAAAAAGTAGGCCTATCACAGTTCCCACCGAAATATTAAGCAGCAAAACTGTTTTATACATTGATATTAATAAAAAATGTTCATATTATTAGAAATGTTAATATTATTAGACTGGAGTAATGGTGCTGAAAATTCAGCTTTGTATCACAGAAATAAATTATATTTTAAAACATACTTAAAAATAATATTTCACAAAAGTACTGTTTTTTACTTTATTTAATAATTTCAGCCTTGGTGAGCATAAGAGCTTTCAAAAGCATCTAAAAATCTTACCAACCCTAAACTTTTGAACATAGTGTAAATGTGGAGGAGGGGTTTGGACCAATGAGAGACAAGTCTAACCTTGTTGCATCATTGCTTCATATTTGGTTAGGGCACAGTGTGAAACATTTTTGTAAGTTTGAGTGTTTTGTAAGGTGATTTTTCCATGATTTATGCACTTATATTTAAAAATTCCTGTGATGGACTGGCCATCTGTCCAGGGTGTTTACTTGTTTAGTTTTAATCTCCCCCTTAACAATGATTAAAAAAAAAAAACATTTCACATTCTGCTACCGTATGCAAATTTTAGTAGATTATTAAACTTAACATGCCTGACTGAATTATTCATAAAACACACAGTCATAGATTTAATTGTGAGCATTTGCTTGATGTGACTAATATAAAGTATGTTTCTCTTTTTCTCCCTCACCGTTCTGTCTCCCTATTTGTGTGTCTGTGTATGTCTTACAGTTTCCCTGTTTGTGTGTTCCTGTGCTTTCCGGCCGAGTGTTTTGTAAGGTGATTTTTCCATGATTTATGCACTTATATTTAAAAATTCCTGTGATGGACTGGCCATCTGTCCAGGGTGTTTACTTGTTTAGTTTTAATCTCCCCCTTAACAATGATTAAAAAAAAAAACATTTCTGCTACCGTATGCTAATTTTAGTAGATTATTAAACTTAACATGCCTGACTGAATTATTCATAAAACACACAGTCATAGATTTAATTGTGAGCATTTGCTTGATGTGACTAATATAAAGTATGTTTCTCTTTTTCTCCCTCACCGTTCTGTCTCCCTATTTGTGTGTCTGTGTATGTCTTACAGTTTCCCTGTTTGTGTGTTCCTGTGCTTTCCGGCCTGTGCTGTGTGTGTTTGTGTGTGAAGGAGAGGTCCGCGGCCTGCGGGGGGATGACATGCATGTGTCCAGGCATTTAACATCATTGAGGATTTTAAGACTAGTAGGCTGCCCTCCGCCAAGGCATGATGGACATTCTGGTAACTGGCCTTTTTCTTTCATTGCTGTTTGTGTTTGTGGTGGTTTAGTGGATTGAAGAGTGTTTTGATGTGTTTTGTCCATTTTAGTTGCTCTGATGTCCTGATAAGATACTGACGAAAACTGTATGATGTATTCAAGTCCATGTGGAATTGCACTCTTAAAAAATGGGGTCGCAGTGTTCCTCAAAGAACATTTCAGTGAACAGTTCTTAAAAGAACCATTTATTCTTAGTTTGAAGAACATTTTAATAATCTAAAGAACCTTTTTCCCACTATAAAGAACATTTTGTGAAATGGAAAGGTTCCATGGATACCAGTAAAGAACCTTTACTTTTACAGTAGAATTGGAAATTCCCATTTCTCTCATGTTGTCTCAAACCTGTATGAATTACTTTCAGTGGAACTTGGAATATATTTTGAGAAAATACAATGGAAGTCAGTGGTCACCAAAATTTGGTTACCAAAAATCGTTTGCGTTTTGCAGAAGAAAGAATGTCATACAAGCTAACAACAACCTGAGGGAGAATAAATGATGACAGAATTTAGATTTTTGTGTGAACTGTTCCTTTAAATGTGTTGGATAATTTGATAAAGCTACCAATAGGAGTGAAGCACTTCCAGCTCAGTCTACTGCACTTTACCAACTCCATTCCAGAGGTTTTCCCTCCAAAATCATGGCAGAAAATGTTAAACATGTTTGCAGACCCTGTCTGGTCCCGGTTAAAGCCATATATCAGCAATCCTCCTGATGTTTAGCGTTATTTGTGTTTTCTTTTCTTCACTGACAATGCTTTTTGTGTTTAATACTTGAGAGAAGTATTCTGGTAACTTCTTGAGTTGATTGCAGCATGCAAACTCCTCTTTTGCTCAAGTCTCCTTTCTTTTCCTCAACTTTGTTCTCTTCATCTCACCTCTCACCTCGTCTTTTCTCCTCTCCTCACATCCCATCTAGTCTCCTCTGCTTTGTTATTCTCTCCTTATTAATCTTCTTTTTGTCTTGCCTCCTTTCCTTTCCTATTCCACACACACAAACACACCAATTTATTAGAACCTCCCATAAAGTTATTTCAAGTGAGCCTAAATTAAGCTATTTATAATTACTTCATCCCTAAAGACATATTTTTGTATTTTAATTGAAGCTCAAGAAAGTAATCATCACATTTTAAACGTTTTGCTAAATTCCTGTCATTTTCAAAAATGTGTTACTCCTCAAAATCACACACACGCTTTCTTTGCTAGTCTTGTTCTATCAACGCTCCCCGAACAGCAGAGATGGATGGAGAACAAGAAATCCAGAGATCTTCATCAAGAGACAAAGACTGCTGGAAAGCTGAGACAGCATGAGAGACAGAAAGGAGAAGTCAGCAGAGGGAGGGAGTGATAAGTCACATGATTCATGGCCAGTCTGCCATGGCATCTGGATAAAGTTAGAGGAAAGCAAGATTTAGATCTAAAAACAGACAAGCAGACAGACATTCATTCTATTTGTGTGCGTGTTTGTGTGTGTGTAAGGGAGTTTTCCTCTTGTCTTTAACAGCACAGAGTGGCTTACTTATATCTCAAGCAGTTTATTTAGTTGCACACCTTTCTGCAGAGCTCCTCCCCGCTCCATAGACTTAAGTTTGGCTCATATATTTATATATAAAGCTGAACATCAGTGCACATTCTCTCTCTCCCTCCCCCTCTGCTGGGTTAAGTTTCTTGCCCTCAGGAGATCCCTGAGTTTCTCACGCTTGATGCCAGGTTGGGGGTGCTCTGTGCTCTCAAGCCTGTTGGTTTTGATACTTCTTTTAGAAAACAAGTGGCTATGTCTTTTTAAAAGGAATGGCGGTGGTGTAGCCTAGTGGATCTGGGCTGCTTTCCAAAAAGCTCCAGGTTACAGTCTTACAAGGATTGATTCTCTGTCACCATGTTGGTGTATTGTAGTGATCATGCACGAACATTGTAGGCTATGTTTAGAATAGAATGCTAGCATACTGCAGTATACACTGTATACTGAGACGTTTTCTTAGTAGAATCATGTGGTCAATGTTTAGCTAGTTAGCATGACCCTGTTAGCCCCTACAGCTAGATACCATTGTTATGAACAAATGGGTCCACCAGTGATTCCAACATAACTCATCCAGCATATTTGATTCATGACAAATGATGGCTTAGTTACTATGTAAATACGGCCAATAATGACTTTTAAATTGTTACATATAGCTATAGATTGCGAAATTAATTATTTCCTATTTTAAGGTGAGGGCATATTTAGCTTTGTACAGCGAAATTCCACAGGAGAAATGCTGTCGTCTCAATAGGAATCTGTGATCTGGAAATTCTTATGAGGGATGCATGATGAGGCAAAATAATTTCCCAGACAAATCAGTGTAATATTGGGCAATGGACCTTTTTTGCCTGTAAAAATCCACTAATGTGATCACACCTTTATGCTTCTTTTCCCACAGTAGTATACTATGTTACCAAACATGCTGGGTTGTTTTATTTAAGTCAGCTATTGTTTAAAAATTATTATATTGCTGCCTTAAAATGGGGTGGAAATTAAAAATCACACACAGAATTACTAGAGGCAACAGCAATAATCAAAAGATAAACATTTATTAAGCAAGAACACATGGACAAAATACAAATTGAATTTATTTGGGTGAATACAGCATAGTTTGCAATATTACATATATTTAAACTCGTTTAACGAGCATTTTAGAAATACAAATTTAACATTTAAAAGAAGCATTTTAATTTAAGTGTATCCAACTGTTCTCTGTAATCGCTTTTTACCGAAATAGTGCTAATTCACGTGCCAGTGTGTCACCGAAATCTGAGCCGGTGAAGGGCTGCTGTTCGCGGGGGGAACTGCAAACTTCAGACCGCGGCCTCGCGTTTCACTCGGGGCTGAAAGATGCCGTGACTGACTCTATAACCTGCCCATAATCAAACAGTACTGAGATTAGAGAATGTTTTAACATCAAATTAAATTAAACTCAGTATTATAATGAATAAAATCAATTTATGTTATGCAAAGCAAAAGGCATTTCCATTATGCGAAGTGACCGACCGCTACTGACGCAGCTGACTGACACCTAGTCCTTATGATGCGTTGCGCAAAAATAATATAATTTACAGCACAGTAAAGACTTTATAAATGAAATAAAACATATACAAACCTTTATTGGTAGCACTTTATTTTATAGTCCTGTTACTCATGTACATACTATGTTCTTATTTTAATAATTACAATAACTAGGTAAAAAGTAGGTACTTACCCTGAACCTACCCCTAAAACTAACCCTACCCCATGCAGTTACCATATATTACCAGTACTTTCTTAGGTAGGTACACTGTAAGTACATTTAAGTACACGTACTGTAAAGTAAAGTGCAACCCCTTTATTTTGCTGAAGAAGTGCACCAAATCGGCGTCGGCGGCACTGAGAAACGCTCTCTCCTGTAGTGGACGTAAAAAGCCCGCAATCTGACTCTAACTCAGCAGCTGGGTTGTTTCGTGGGAGACAGGCTCAACTTAGCAGTTGGGTAGAAAAAAATAACCAAGCATTATAAATGACCCAGTAGCTTAGGTACAGAAAAATTACCCAGGACCTGGGTAAAAAAAATATTAAAAATAACCTAATAAAATGACCCAACAAGCTGAACCCAGCATTTGGGTTAAAAAAATAACCCAGCATTTTTTAGAGTGTAGAGATTATGGTTTATAAAGTTTTAAATATAGATATCTTTCTTACACAAACACACCAGTTCGCTTCAGAAGGCCTTTATTAACCCCTGGGAGCTGTTTGTAGTACTTTTTATGATGGATGGATGCACTTTTTTGGACTTCAAAATCTCAACACCCATTCACTGCCATTATAAAGCTTAGAAAAGCCAGGACATTTTTAATGTAACTCAGATTGTATTCCTCTGAAAAAAGAAAGTCATAGGGGTGAGTAATTCATGGGGTTATTTTCATTATTTTGGTTGAACTATCCCTTTAATGTTATATCAATATTACCATAATTATGATATTCTGATTTGTAAAAAGTGTTCATGTCCTTAAAGAATTCATAATTAGAACTTGTACAGAAAACATACAGAAATACTCCAGACTTGGATAATGTCTAATGTTCTACTAAAAGAGCTAAATAAACTTTAAAGTGTATCTATAACAGCTTTGTCCATTGATTACTCCAGCTCAGGGTAGAACATTTAGATTGTCATCTAGTAATTGCGACATGGCATGAACGCGTGTAGCTTCTGTTGTATTCTGTTCAATTAAATCTTTATTAGTGGTAATGTGTGTGCTTGCAGCTAACCATTAAAGAAACTCTTAAACATTTAAAATTTGTTTTCATATTGAAAAGCGAACTGATGTCACCCAGTTTGCCCAATCAATATTTGGGTGAGTTTGCAATGTGAGCGTTTCTGCTCAGCCTCATGCTGTAACCTCCAAACAAATGTGATAGTTCAGTCATGTGACAGAGTGAAAGAGAAGCTACAAATACAGCTCTGTGTTGCTTTAAATGGCTGTAATGTGTGTTTGCAGTGATTTAAGTCCAAAACGTAGCCAGTTCTTGGTGGGCCGCTGCTCTGCTGCGATTGCTCTTCAATGAAACCACTTCCTCTTCTCATTGTTTCTCTGAGGCAGCTCCCTCTTTTAAACTCTTACTTTCGTAGACCACTAATGCTTTTCTGAATCTTTCACTGTTTTGTACGTCGTAAGTCCTTGTTTTGCTTTTAACTAACAAATATGGAGTGCTTTACTTCTAATGTCACCGGCTAATTTCAATTTCAATTCTCTTCACATGTTGATTTCATATATAAGCACAGATATGACACCCTAAAGCTTCAGGATTAATACAGTTCATGATCACTAGTATCAAATAATGTATTATGGGATGGCATGTGAGGAGATCATCCACTATTGATGGGGAAAGAGGCTGACAGCACTGTTTCTCAATTCCCATTTGAGTTTCCCAGCAAGAAGTTGAAATACCGTTAGTCTTT